ATACTTCGTCGATACGCAATTATACCGTGAAGCAGAACTGGTATCTGCACTTCTCGTCAGAAAAGCGACTTTCAATATTATTAATCACTTACTATTATTATTTAAGCCCTCTCTTAATTATTCAAGGTCAATTATAAAATTTATCTCTTAACTCATAATTTAATTAATTAATTCCCTAATTTAATGGTGCGGGTTCTTACACTTCACATGACAATGATGATAGTTAATCACACATAGTGATAATCTCCTACCAACATCGCCCAAACAAAGCGGACAGAGCTCCGTTTATTTGTCGGACATCTAGTGATAATTATCAAATGGTATATCAACCTGATAAACAGTTCAATAAATACTAATACAATCTCAATTTTCCAAGTAGGCATACCAGCCCTTCCATCAAGGAATCAAGTCAGAATACACAATAGTATAATAAGTATATAACCAAGAAGTTAGCAAATACCCAAAGCATGGTCACTACCCTACACCCCCATATACATTATAGGTGGTATAAAATAATATAATCATACATTAATTGAGACTTGTCGAATTACTACGAACCAACAATTGTTTGTGCTCTTAATGTTTCAACATCATGATCGAATTTTTGCTTCCACTTCAAAAGTAAAGCTACGTTCCTAGTGAGTTAAAATCAAGGGTCAACTGAAGTAAATCCAATCATATACACTTGGCCAAACAAAACCCTGAAAATGAATAAGAGAAAATACTTGAGAACATAACACATATAAGGATTTGGTCATTTAAGGTTATTTTTAGCAAATTCTGAACCAAGACAATATTTTGAAATGGGAACACAAGAAAAATACACAGTTCTTCATTTTGTATCTTTTAATTAAAAAAAATGTGTGAAGGAAGAAAGACAACCTTTGAATGGGAGAATAAGAAATTGTAGAATAAGAATGAAACCGGCACCTGCTCGGAGAAATTCGCTTAGTTGTTTCTTAGTTATAATGAGGTTCGTTTGCTGGTTAGGGTTATATAGAAAAACAAATTTTGTTTATGATGATATATTGAATATTGCAATTATTTTTCATGTTAATGTTAACATTTAATATTGAATCCAGATAAATTAAAATTAAATACACGAAAAAGAAATAATCAATTAGAAAAAATTTAGATATGTATAAAGAAAATAAATAAATAAAATATAAAAAAATTGAGTAAAAAATTATTTTAAAAAAATTTCTTATTTAAAAATGAAACCCCATGTGATAAGGGAATAATATTTTATTCAAAAAACAAAACCTCCTTTTCTATTTCGCAAAAATGGAAACCACCACAGTCATTTTCATTAAATGAAACCTCCCCCATTTGTAAACGAAACCACTTGTGAGAAAAAAAAATTCATAAATTTATATCTGCAAGTGCAGACAATTGCACACATGTGAGTCCGCCCTTGAGCATAGTGATATCCATATGAAGCTGATGAGGGAGCTAAGTATATAAAGGCAAATTTACAAATTTGTAACCAACTAATAATATAGTAATATCGAGTAAAATTTTAACTGATAATTTTAATTAAATCCTATCTATTTTAGACTATTACGAAGGGAATCTCTACTTTGATCTTGAGTTTCTTTTTCGAAAATTATTATATTATTAATTCACTAAAAAAATTTAAAAACACAAAAAATAAAATTAAAAAAGTCCCCTGAATAGAGGTGCTAGAAAGGATGAGAGCCTCGTTGTGCCTAGACCATGTTTGCACCACAAGACGTTGTCCGCGAGTCAGATTGTTTGGGAACACAACCCCAATCGCGAAGTAAATTTCGTCCAAAGTTAAATATTAGCAAGAGACTGATTACCTATTTAAAAATTTAAAAATAATAAAATCATAAATATTATTACTCTACTATTATTATCTTAAAACACTATTTAATTTGTCGTTACATATTTATAATTCACTTTAAATATTTTTCATTATTATTTACTTTCATCTTAACAAAAAATTTAAAAAAAAAAACATGAATTGAAACCGTACCAATTAATTATATGCTGGTGATTATGGAATTATCTCCTTATTATGTTTAAAGACAGCAAATAACATACACAAGAAATAATTAGGTCTTTACCATAAAGTAGGAATCGCACAAAATTTCTTAAGGGATCCTTCCAACATAATGCCTTGATGTTGGTAATCCGTGAAGGCCATAACCCATCGAAGGTTTCTTATAGCATCCGAAAGGAGTAGGATTGCCCTGCATAAACAGAAAATTGCCCCCAAAGAGGTCATTCATGTGACCATTCTTCAACTTGTTCAAAGCCTTGCCCCAAGAGACTCTAAACTTAGAGAGAAATCTAGTCCTTTTTATGAGGGTCCTCCTCAAACCTTGAATCCGAAGCTTTGGCCTTCTCCTACCAGCTAGTGCCCTAAACTTCAGCCACGCCCTTGCCTTCTTCACTTCTCTTTCTAGTATTTCATCGTCCAATTCTTCTTCCTTTGGCAGTCTATGGTAATAAGAAAGCTTCCCCATAGAAGCCATATTTTGTGGTAGAGATAGGGATAAACGATTATAGGCCACGTTACTTGATTAAAGAGAACTTGTGAGTTGAGTTGTGATGGTTGGTTTTGCCTTACTTTTTTTTTTTGTTACTCACGGGATAGGTCTTATGGATACACGATATTCGTTCCTTTGATTTCCTAGGCGATTTAAATGACTGACCTGCATTAGCAAGCTCGGTGCAATTCATTGGACCAGGCGAACTTGATTGGTAGTGCTCATTTAATATGATTCGTTGAAGATGTTTAATGAATTACTTCTTTTAGATTCGAAAAAATTGTTGCAATTTTTACAAAAACTCTTACAAAAGAATTTTGAATATAAATTATTTAAGAGTCAAATGTTTCTCCCAAGTTATTTCGGTTACTTCAAAATAACAACGGTTAAGGTCCTTAAGGAAATTTCAAATATTGGTGAAGCGTAAGATTTCAAGTATGGAACAAGTATTTTTCTTAAATAATAGGACCTAGGAGGCTTAAATTTTTCCTAAATAATATTAAAAAAAGTATAATCTCACGTACTATTACTATATATACCAGTGGCGTAGCCACACACAAACCAGGTGCCTTGGCACCTGTTTGGTTTTATTTTTTTAACTTATTATATATATTATATAATTAATTATAATTAACTAAGGTAAAAATTATAATTTGGCACCACCTAAATAAAAAATCAGATACTCAATACAAAGTAACAACAAATCATCTAAATGCAAACAAATAATAAGGAACATGTATAGTATGGTTATTTTTATGTTTTACCTTTTTTATTTTTTATCTTGTATATTTGTTTTTTTATACTTTATTCTAATCAGGTATGTTATTTATTCTTATTCCTATTATTTAAAAAAAAAAATATTTCTAAACTTAATCACAAAAATGATTAGTTGACTTATTTCAAAATTTGGGTCCAACTAAATCAAATAAACCCATTTAAAAGTAGGAAAAAAAATTTCTCCTTTTAAAGAATACAACTTGTATCCTTTTAGTTTTTGACATTATATCTTACCAGTAAAACATAATTATAATATGAATTTTTTTTTCTATTTCCTCAATCACTTCAGCTGACGTGGAGAGAGAAAAAAAAAACTTTTCATGTTATAAAAACTAAAAGGACACAATTTGTGTCCTTTAAAAGGACAAACACTTAACCCTTGAAAGTAACAATCATGAAACCAAAGTTTTGGGTTATTGCACACACAAAGAATAGTCAAAAACCAAATTCCCAAATGTGAGAACTTTTCATTGTGCTTATGGTTGTTGCAAACAAGGGTGATGTTCTCTAACGTGAGATATTGAAAATTTAAGAAATAGAGATAATGAAAGGGACAATACTTATTATACATATAATTATTATATTTGTGTGTTTTCATATCCTTAGGATAATGTTTGGTTCATTACTTGTTATATTGTGCGAGGAAAGTGAAATTCTTATATTTGAAATGTTTATAAAAAAGGTTAGTGCATTTTTATATGTTTGTTTTGATAATCAACGACAATTGTTTATTTGAATTTTCAATATTATGTGACATTATTTAGAACATAATTTAGATAACTATGTTAGAATTCATATTAATTTTTTTCTTGATAAATTTGTGATTACAATAAATATTTTAATAATTTAATATGTCAAATTTTTTGGCACCACCTAAATATTTAAGCCGGCTCCGCCACTGATATATACACAATTATTGTAGGGTAAAGTGTGTGTTATTTTAAAGGATGTAAAGTTGTGTCATTTTAAGAGAGAGAAAGAGATAGATAAAGGAGGAGAGAGTTGATAAAAAAAAATAAAAGTATGGATCTCACCTCTTTGTGAGAGTGAAATGATATAAATTGTGTCATTTAAAAAAATAAATACTTTTTCTATTGGGTAGCTGAACGCTTTTTGAATTATGTGAGAAATGATAGGTGAACATTTTTCATCCATTAAATTAAACTAGTCATCATTGCTTGAACTTCAACAAACATGGAAGCAGAAAATCAACCTTTGGATACTTTCAAATACAGTTGATGATGCAAGTCCGTTATTCAGCTAATTAAGAGCCCCAAAATTGGTTCCTTCTGACATCGTTAGGATCGAATAGTAATAAATTATAGGATTTTGGTCAAAGAATATCACATTTTGATTTAGAATAAATAAGGCTCTAAACGAAAAGAAAACTTTCATTTTAAATGAGTTTCACTAAGGTAGAGATCTAGGATATAGGCTTAGCAAATAATTCAAAACAATAAAACAAAAACAAAAAAAGAAACTAAAGGTGTATATCCCATTCTGTGTATATAATTCTTCAATTTTATTTTTATTTTATTTTTTGTTGACATCAATTGTGGCCTAAGCTTTTAGGCTATGTGGGGGAAAAAACTATAGCTTTTTCTCATTACATATATTATGTAATATAAGCTTTCCTATGAGGCTTTTTTTCATGTATGAAAATTTCCTCATTAATTAATACTCTCTAATTTGATCAACATTAAAATATTGAACAAAGACAAGCCTAGGCGTGTGCAAACTGAATCCACTGAGAAATGCTAGGAATTCCACCATTCACAACCGTGAGCAAGTAATAACCAGAAGGTGCAACATGGGGTGATGGTGGGGCTTCTAAGACTGCATCCACCCACCCATCACCTCTTCTCGCCATTCTCTTGCACCTCAGCTTCAGCATCCTCTGATTCATCGCAAAGGCATGAGTAGTAAATGGCGGTGCATAAGCAATGAACCCCATCTCATTACTTGGCCTCTTCCTCAACAAAAACCGAACTTTAAACTCTTTTCCATACCCAATTGCATGGTTTTGACCACCATATTCTATGGTCAAGTTACTTGGCCTCCATTTATGGTACGTCCTGTCCATGTAGTGTGGAACAAATGCTTGAAGTCTCAGTTCCGTTGGGTATGCCACATTGTGAAAGCTATACCTCCCATGAGGGTTACCACCCCCAACCAAGACCCTCCCATCAGGAAGAAGAGTTGCTGATGAGTGATACATTCTTGCTATCTTTGTGGACTTAAGGATTGTGAACCTTTTTCCTAGTCTTTTTTTTGGGCTATAAAGATAAGGTTCAAGGGAAGCGTTTCTAGCATTGTCATACCCTGCACAACCATGTTTAGCTCCATTGATAATCAAGATGTTCCCAGTAGGGAGAATTATCATGTCATGTAAGAGACGTGGATTGGGCATGTACTCCATATCCCACTTGTTCTTATTCCCTGTTATCACCATTCTCCCACAAGATCTTAAACCCTCAAGGAATGTGCCCTTAGTAGCAGCTTTGAATGCCCCAGTAGCTGAACCTCCACATACCATAACTTCCACCTTCTTGAAGTTATCTTTGTGGTCCAAAGGGAGTAACACAGATGAGCCAGAACTTGGGTAGTTTCTTGATCCTTTTCCTTGAATCCGAGGGAAGGTCTTGATTACTCTGTTACGTCTCAAGTTGAGTAGGATTGAATCACGGTTTGCGAAAATGAACAAGTTTCCATCTGATGAGAGGTGAAGGAAGGGATAGAGGTTGTTCCCTCTTGAATTCCTGTCATTTGTTTGGTGCAAGAATGGAAGGTTAAAAGATTTTTCTCCAGGACTAATTTTTGGTACAAATTCATAAGTGAAAACCCTTCTTCCACCAACAACAACGACCCTGTCATGTTCTGATAGTATCTGACTAGAGGCATACCAACGCTCATCAGATAATGATTTCTTTGATTGAACCCAATCACATTGGTGATTCCCACAAGACTTATAGAATCTGACCCTTTTGGCACCTTTGCCATATCCACCTGTTTGTACAAGTGTGCCATTGCTTAAGAAAGAACCAGAGGAACACCAAGGATCAGTGTCAAGCCTCAAAGGTCTTACTTTGTTGGCACTAATGTCATACTCAACAGAGTGAGCATAGCATGTTGAGTCCATCAAATCATGATGGCTTCTGGTGCACCTGCTTCCATTGAAGCGTTTGCGAAGTTGGTAATTAGATGGGCCAGCTTCAGTTTGATCAAACATTATGACTGTGTTTTGGTAGGTTAAAGCCATATGCATGCTAACCACGCCAGTGTTTTTGAGGAGCAGTTGCCACTGCCCTTTCCTCCCTATTCCATTGGCACCATCACTAAATCCAACACAAACCAAGAGGAATAGGATAATGATCATGATTTTTCTGCAAGACATGGAGAACATTTTTCATAGGCTAGAGGGGGATGGTTATAAGATTGGATGTGAAGGGTCCTTTTGTAGCACCATGTTTTGCTTGGAGCCGAATTACTAGCAGTCATGCACTTGAAAAGGTGCAATCAATTTGGCTAAATTTCTGTCAGCTCATCCTGAAATGTGCAATAAAAATTTCCCTAGGAGTCTTGCCGTGAGGGATGTTCATTGATTATATAATAATATTTGAGTGTTTTGTTAGATCCAATTGTGTCGGGCTCATGCAAGAATTGATTTCAGTTTGCAAAAACAACTTTATTTTTTTTAATCACAAAATTCCGGGTTTATGCAGCTTGCAGCACACGGTCTAATTTCTTTTGCTATCTGATAGCACTTGGTAGAACATCGTAACTGGTCGAAAGCACTATACTTTTCATCTATGCAAAAGTACCTATCCTGAATTTTCCTAATACTCTTAAATTAAATCCACGTAGAGAGGTATCAGATATTTGTATAGAATACTTTGGTGGCAGAAAAGGCAAGAGAAATGGCAAAAATCTGAATTGGAGTTAAGGAATCGAGTAATACTATTTTATGGTGTGAGTAAAAAAGATTTTCTCCTTTGTAGAGGAAATAAAAATTAAGAAAATTCTGTGATACTATTGATGGCTTCACTTCGTTTAAGTTTTATTGTCTAATTGAATAAAAAAAATTCTTACAAATAGTTATCTAATTAATTATTAATTGTCACTGGATTGAAATATAAAAAAAATTAACCTTACACATAAAAGGTATGAAATGAACACCAAAGAGGGGTAAAAAAATCATTGAATAATGTTTTTGTTCTTTTAATAAATAAATAAATAAAAAACCATTCTTACGGATCAACTCATCTTGCAAAGTAGGGGTGTCTGGATTGGATCGATTTTGAATGCAAAAATCTTTTGATCCAATCTATTCAGTTTGATCATGTAATTATCCATTCGGTTTGGATTTTTTTTTCAAATCTGATCCAATCCAATCCAATTTTTTTCGATTTGGATTGAATCGGTTTTTGATTTTTTGAAAATCCTAATATTTGTTTGATGATTATTCTGCAAACAAATATCTTTTGTATGTATTGGCTTAATAAAAAAAATTGAAATATAAATGCATCATTAAATAATAATCTAATTTTTTTTTGACAATGAGATATGGAACTCTACACAGACGAAATTTTGCTAATAAGGTGGTTAGGTTTTTTCTTAGGTTTAGCTGATGGGTTAATGGGTCTTGAATTTAAAATTTTTTGGGGTATGATTGGGAAAAATGCCAAGTAGGTAGAGGAAAATTAATATATTAGATCGGTTTGGATTGGATCGATTTTCACCAACGAAATCGAAAATCGATCCAATCCAATTAAAATTTGCGATTTTTTTCGATTTTAAGTTTTTCAGTTTTTGATTAATTCGATTATCGACTTTTCGATTCAGTTACGGTTTGAATTGATTTGGAGCGGTTGATGAACACTCCTACAGTAAATGATTAAACCAATTTTGACGATGCCCTTGTACGAAACAGGTTTAAACAAGTTGGTGGGTTGAAAATCACAACCCACCATTTGTGGAGAGTTAAACATGTCAAAATAAAGGGTTGGACCCATTTAGCCATCTCATCAATTGTGTTCAAAACAAATAACTAAAAATACATTCAGAGTATATATATCTAATTATTTAGATAAACTTGACACTACTCAAAACTTTGATTTAATCAACTTCAAATTTAATTAACTTGACATTGCAATTTTTTGATTAATTAATCTGCATTTATTGTACTAATTAATATCGGCAAATATCCCCCGACAATTTAATTAGATTAAAAATATCCAAGCATTGATGATGCTTCAACTAAAAAAAATAAAATAGCTGTACAAAAAAAGAAAAGAAAAGATATCACTAAATAGAAGCAACATATAAACTTCCACAATTACCAAGTTTAAAATTGGGCAATGGCTATGACGGATAACAAACATCAAGCCAGACTTAAAGATTGAAAAATCGAAATGAAAGAAAATAAAAATATTTAGATAAAACGAAAGATACTGAATAAATATTTAAAACGAAAGATATTTAGATTTGGATGAGAAGACACAAGCAACATGTGCAAATGCCAAATATTTCAAAATACATAAAATAAGTAAAATACGACAAAAAATAATTAAAACAATAATTACAGTAAACTTATGAATATAAGAATCTCCAGCCCAGAAAAACATCATTCCGAAAATATAAGTGATTATCTTTTCTGTTTTTCTGTTCCACATCACAATCTTTTATGTGAGAATTAAAGAGAAAATTATTCTGCAACAAAAACATAAATATTTAAACTCTATAAAAAATGTATAAAATAAATAGTAGCTTCGAAGATGTATTTATCTTTTTCTTTTTTACTTTAAGAACGTACGTTACAACAATTTTTTTCAGATGCCATCACCATAATAAGAAGACTGACATTTTGTTTGTTTTTTTCACTTTCAAGATCAAGAGTATACATGGAGTATTTCAGAATTCACATACATTCCTAAAGCTGATATAGTTGAACAAAAAGAGTTGTATCACTCTAGCAGTACTGACGCATGAAGGTAAATGGATGCAACTTAAAACTTTTCCCTAAAGCAAGATTTGATTAGATATTTAATTGAGAAGGTACTAAATTGGTTGGCACCTAGTCAGCCATTAAGCAATTATTTATTAAATCAGCCCCAAAAGCAAGAGCACTCGTTAACAAAAAGAAAGTGAATGACAAAGGCAAGCCAAAAGTCCAAGATAAGCATATAGCGGGCCTTTCCGGCTAAAATCCATGCCATGCTATGCTGCAGTGTCACCTACCCAAAGAGGAATAAATTATTGGTCCATCCATGTATCCAATTCGATATATCTTTTTTTCAAAAGATAAAACTTTTTCAACGTGACAGGAAATTTTTTTTCAAAAGTGGTAAAAAAAGTTTCCACACGTAGAAAAAAGATGTACGAGTTAATGCACCAAAGATTTGTCTCCCAAAAAGACTGCTAGGTTGTCCAACTCAGCCTGTGCCTTCCTTCACGTCCCAACACTAACACAATTACACATGAATAGTTCACGTGACACGTCATTCACTAGCGGATTTTAAGGATTACTAGGAATTCACCAGATCATGCTGCGAAACACATGAACCAGCCCCTTCAAATCATTCACACTACCCAATAATTTCACTAACATCGTTGATGGGTTGAGAAATTAACTCCTACCGAATCACAGATTAAGTTATAGTTGTGCTAGTTTTGAACCCACCGAAACAAACAAGAGATGTACATAACCGGGCACATGATCATGAAACAAGCCAACATCGAGAGGCATGGAACATTATAATTTATATTGATGAATTGCCACAAAATTAATATAATATGAAAACGCACAACCCAACTCTAATATATTATGTGCTTAAAGCATAGACTTGAACCAATAAATACCAAAAATATTTACAATGCGGTGCTAATATAGTAATATGCAAACCTTTTCCACCCGTCCTCCTTCCTCTTCACCAAGAAACTTGCACAAAACTCGGTTTCATACCTCAACATGAAAAGCCATACACAAGTTTTCAGAGATATCATCTAATAAAGTTTTATTCTAGTACCAATGGTACTCCTGCAAATGGGGCATAACTCAAGATCTTGTCCGCACTCACAGCATGTCTGCATATTAATAAAGATGGCTCACATAGTTAAATGGGATTCAATCATCTATGATGTATGTGAAAAAAAAAGTGAACTGCATGGCTTCCTTACCTGATGCCCGCAACCAAAGGCCATATCCTTATGATTGGAGAGGCAAATGGGACAAACCTGCAAGGATTATATAAGAATAGTTTATAGGGTTTGAATTTGCATTAAAATGTATATTAAAGTCTACAAATGAGTGCCACTGCCATCAACAAAGTAGACTTCCTACATGAGGATCGAATGTAATGACATGGAGAAGTAGACATTCTCCTGCAGTGGCAGCAAACTTAAGAAGAAAAAAACCAACTGGAAGAGAAAGCAAAGAGTTGAAGTACATGACTATCAGAAGCAGAACTCGCTGGAGGATTCGTGCCAGCATCATGCCTGAGAGATGGTGCAGTGGGACAAAAACTGTTTTGACGTGAAGATTTTGGGGAGTTGAAAGATGCTGCACCATATTGAGGTGGTGGTAGAGGAATCCTGTCTATATCTTTCCCTCTACGAGCACTGATTGAAAAGTAATACACCATAAATGGCTTAATACAAAAATGCTATATCCAATGCAGCAAAGCCTACGAAGAAAAGAAATCAACATTGTTACCCCAAGATATTAAGTTCCAGTGTTGCCTTGTACTGGGAGGGTATTTCCATCAAGGCAGCAAGTGCAAACTCTGCTTCCTTTCTCGACCGATCCATGTTCTTTGACATTATTTCTGTGAAATTCACAAACTACAAAAGACAAAACGAAAAAGAAAAGAAAAATAAAGTTTATCATTATTAAGATCATAAACAGAACATGCTCTAAAGATTTGGCAGAACTGACAACTTTTGAACAGGAGATACATGCCTGGAAATTATCAAATGCTCGGGCAGGGATGTTATCATCAAATTCTCTCATCATGTCCCATGGCCCATCTCCAACTCCAACTACTACGATTGACAGGGGATATTCACTGGCAATAGATACATTTTTTTTTTGGTGAAGGCAATGAACACAAACCAAACAAAGAATAAAGCAATACAGACAGATAATCACCTAGCTTTCACAATAGCTTCTACAGTTTTCTTTTCTTGTGAACTCAACTGCCCATGCTCGGTGTCAACACTTCTTGTCACCTGTAACGAGTTGACAATCCTCAGCTTCATTTTGTTAATCATACATAGTATCCAATTACTAATTGATGGCCAATGGCAAGCAGGATGACATCATGCTGCTAAGCTAATATCATAAGTTCCTTGTAGTTCCATATGAAAACTACGGCTAATTCTTACTTTCAGTGTCATCTAGCAGCTTCATTAGACAACTAAACCTTAGACCTTTGGAGTGTATATAAAACTATGCTTTCCCCATAAAAATCTCAATTTTAAATCAAAATTAACTGATAAAAACATCCAATTAGCCTAACCTTGTCCTGCTATACATATTGCTTTTTGGGTTACTATCACCAGGGGCAGAGTGCTGTATGTTGAGGGGAAACAACAAACTTGCATGTAAAGAAAAAAATATTGGTTCCCCTAACAAAATATTGTTTCTCTTTAGCTCCCTTAAAGAAAATTCTCTGGCTCTGTGACTGACTACAATAAAAGTTGCATTCACTTGGCTAAAAATGGACATATGTCAAGGAATTGTAGTATTTAAGGAAGGGCTTATTTCAGCACCAACAACCCCAACCCAACCCCTCTACAAAAAATGGAAAACCATGAATAAAAATTTCCTGTGCATGTTATTTGGTGTAATTCACTTTGATTATTTGATATTAAGGAACACTCATTTAAATAATAATAAAGAAATTCCATTTCAATTCAGATAATTCTCTACCTGCCCATCTGCTATGATTAATAAGACATGGTATTGGCCTCCACTTTGCTCAACTATGGTGATTGCCATCTCAATAATTGGGGCAAATGATGTTGGTCCTGGTATGAGTTAGGGACAAAAATAGCATAGACAAAAAGCTGATTAAAATACAGAAAAAAAAAAAAAAAAGTTTGACCAATGTGACAATACCTGCAAGCTTTAACTGTGGGACCAATTCCCTATACCGTGCCAACACTTCTTCAAATCCATGACAAATTCTCTCGTCAGGAAAGAAACTAAAAACTTCCTGGTCATGTGTTGATGCTGCCAATATGTAAACACACACAGAGTATAACTCACTAGGACATTAGATTAGATTCTAAGGACTGAATGTAATTCATAACAATGCTTCTCAAATTACCATCTCCGAATCCAAAACAGGGAATTAAGTTATCCTCATCAAATGAAGACAATGTTTTTCCAATGATAGATATAGCTTGTTCATATGGATTTTGTTCATGACTGATGTGATGCAGGCATCTCCTCTGAAATGACCTTCCACCTAATACAAAGGCAAGTTATGCATGTTAACATAACTACAAATGGGAAAAAATAAAGGAGATTAGTCAAATGAAGTAAAACCTGTCCACTCGTTGCTCTTTGTAAAATCAATACCGACAATGAGATTGGAAGACTCTAGGCCAGCATGTGCCAGAGCCTCAGTTACCTTCCAATATGGAAAACTACTTCAGATGTCACAAAAAAACATATGAAATCACAATAATTACTGGTGTAGTTCCAAAAGTCAGCACATGGATCTGACATTTACATCCTCCAAATACAGTAATGACATGAAACTAATAGCTAGACATGAACTTTAGCTAAAATTGATGATCCGTGTGTCAAGAGACATGCATAAAACTTGCAGCAAAAGATAACAAAGGAAATTAATTCTTTGAGCAAATTCATTATCATCTTTATAATGACAATGTCAAGAAGACAATTAAAAGAATTAGTTACAAGAACAAAAAAAAAATGTTTCCTCAGCTTCTCAAATTCACACTGCCTTCTTTAAAAATATCTGAGCAATTAATAGCAATGGCAAGTGTGTATTATTAAACTTAAGGCACCAAAGTGTTCCAAATGATTCAAGACCTGAACTGAAATAGACTCTTTTCTCTCAAACTTCATAGCTTAAACTCAAAATGCAGGGATAGTTTCATTCAGTATAAACCCTGGAACAGATTTTACGGAGACAATGCACACCCATGACCCATGTTATTATGCATTTGAGTCATTTAATACATTGAGAATCAGGGATCATAGGAAAGTTACCTGGTCCAAGCTTTTATAATTATCATCTATCCTTGAAAACTTCCTGTCTGGCCTCTTTTTTTGCTCTGGAGCACGAACACCACCATAACTTGGAGATGGATGCCCGTAATAACCGAGAGGCCCATGAGCTTGGCTTTGTGGCAAATAAGGTGATTGATATTGAGGATCACTCCAGGAACGTGAACTGGACCTTGAGGATGAACGTTGACTAGAGCTCCCCCGTTTAGAATTTGTTCCACCCATAAATTCTTTACTCTGAAGAAATTCAGCAACCCCATAAAAGCATTCAAATCAAAACTCTCAGAATTGTTCTTGATCCAGTTCAAGTCACATTCTTGTTGAGAAACAATACCTTATTTACAACAATTTTAATTTACTTTCCTTAGAAATCATGAAGATTACCATTCAAATTATACAACCCCCCCCCCCCCCCCCCCTCCCTTTTTCTCTCTCCAATTTGCATTTTAATCCACTCACATTTGTTTCAACTCTCTTCCTTTGTTTTAATGTTCTTCAAATCAGATTAATCCTTAAAAAAAAAAACAACAACAACAACAACAACTTTTCATAGCTATCAGAAATTGAATGGAAAATGTGAAAAGAAAAATGATACCTTAAAGGGGTAGGAGGGACTGAGAGAGAGAGTAAAGTAGTGAAAGTGGAAGAGCACTACAAGGCGTCGTAAATGACAACAATGGATAAGTGGATTGGTGCTAATGAACGGCGAAAGGTTGTTTCCACGTAGTTTCTCTTTCTCTCTCTGCAGTTCTGACTTACAGTTTAATGCTTGGTTTGGTGCTTGGTTGTTTTACCTCAAACTGACAACAAAGTAGCAATAGGATTAGGGGGGTAAATAGATTAGGATAGTTGCAATAGGATTAGGGGGGTGAATAGATTAGGACAGGCTTTCATTTAAATAGGTTAAGTCTCTGTTAAAAAAAATTGTTGGATCTGGCCTGATTTGATAGTCTGAGTCTGAAATACAAGTCTGACTTGATTTATATTTAATAAATAAAAGTTTTAATCTAGGACCGTTAATCTATTTAAATCTATTAAACATTCAATAATTAAAAGAATAATTAAAATAATATTATTTTATTATTCAAAATATTTATTTTATTTAAAATAAATTATATAATATAGACCGGTCTGTAGGTTTATAGGTCTAACATGTATAAAAAATTCTATAGCCTTTTTCTGAAATAGTTTTTCTTAAAAGCCTATACCTATTCTATTTTATTATTTATAATAGGTCAAGTCCGACCTAATACAGCTAGTTTGTAAGTCCCTATAGGCCGGTTTAACCTATTTGTACTCCTAGTACTAGATGATGTTTGCATGTTAATCAACAACTGTAAATAAATTTTAGCAGTTTAATATTAATTACATCGTCATATTATAATATATATATCGCCATATTATTAAAAAGCTTAATTATAATAACAGTTACTTAAAATCCAATTTTGAAATGTATACGTCTCCAAAAAAAAATGTATATATACTGTTAAAAGAAAAATAATCACTTCATTATCCTTGTTCTCCTAAAAGAGCAGTTACTTTATATCGTGTTAGATTTAAATAATGAGATACAAGCACTCACGAACTCAGATGCTTTACGTTACCTCGATTATTAAACACAGGCACTAACAGACACATTTGCTTTTTGTTATCTCGTAAATGTTTGCTTTACTTAATAATGATAGGAGCTACTAAAAAATTGTAATAGGAATAGTAATCCTTGTTAGTATAGCACGCACCCAGAAACAACCTTTCCTAACACTATGCTAGATTTGAATATATGATTGGCTATCGTATCAGTTGAATGCATTTTTTTCAACTTTTAAAAAAAAAAAATTTAAATTTCTTTAAAAACCATACAAATTAATTTAAAATAAACAGTACTAAATGCTAAAATTATTTGAATTTATTACCATAAACAAATAGTTCAAATAGTTAATTAGACTATAAGAGTAAGGGGTAAATTCGTCAACTACTTACTATCGGTTTGGTCGGATACCGTGGGCGTGGATGTTTGTTTTCGAATTGGGTTTGTCAACATCGGGATTATGATTGAGGTTGGTGACAATGACTGAACGGTGCTCCTGTTTTCCAACAACTCATTCTTTGTGGTTTGTACTATGTATACTGTGTCGCAGTAGTGGCTAAGAACATCAACTAATGATCAATATTTCTTTCGTGAAACCAAGGAGATGTGGGGAAGACTGATCAAAGTGTCACTCATTTTTTCACAATTTATTTTTTTAAATGCCACGCTATCCAATTTTCTAATATGTTACGTGGACAAGTTTGTTATAGTGCTCAGCAAATTTGGTAGCTAATAATTTCGTTACACGTGACATATTTTTATAGGAAAAGTTGACTGTCACGTGTCCAAGTTCGTTACGACTGGTAGCGAACTTGGTAGCCATGATTTCGTGACACGTGGCACACTTTTGCAAGAAAAGCTGACTGGACGGTGTGCTAGGTGGCACAATCTCATTACCCGATCAGAATTAATGTTCCAATCACAATAAAAAAACAGAAAATGAAAGAAAATGACAATTAATTGTAATTAATGTATTAATCACAATTAATGTACCAATCACCAATCACACTTAATATATCAATCACCATTCACAATTAATTTTGATCACAATTAATGTACCAATCACCAATCACAATTAATGTATCAATCGCAATTAATTTTGATCGGTACATTAATTGTTTGTGATATTATTGTTACAAATTCGAACGATGTTTGTGAGAGATAAAATATATCAAATGAGATGTCATTGGATAGATCTCAAAAAGTTATATGTAAAATAAAAAATATCTGATTTGGATATCCGAATCAAAAGTTATGGCTCTCCGAAGTTATTGGTGATTAGTACATTAATTGTGATTGATACAATCAAAAGTTAATCTTATTTGTACACTAATTATGATTGACACAATAATTGTGATTGCTAATTGGCCCATTAATTTTGATTGGCACATTAATTAAATTGCCATTTTCCTTCATTTTCTGTGTTTTATCGTGATTGATACATTAATTCTGATTGTGCCACGTGGCACCTAGTTCGCTTGGACCTTCAACGAACTTGGTGCATGTCAGACATGTGGCACACCTAGTTCGCTGCATGTGGCAACGAATTCTCCAATGTGTCAGCATTTATTGCAACATAGTTCGCTACTGGAAGTAGCGAACTTGTTGTCCACCAGAAACATACCACGTCAGCAAACCAAGTTCGCTGGCCACTGTAGCGAACTTGCTCGCGTGACATATTAAGAAATAACATTGTTTGCGTGGCATTTAGGTAAAAAAGTCGATGAACAGTGACATTTTGGTCACTGTTCCGAGGTGTGGTGTGTGATGTCGACTAGAAAGTAGAAAGGGAGTTTGAGAAACCACCTCGCAATAGGCTAGGTTATGTTAAGTTTTAGCATAAATAGATTAGATATGTGTAAAAAATATTGGATATGCTTGGCCTTTTAGTCTGTGGAGACTCTAAATTACAAGTTTGGTCTGACTTATATTTAAAAAATAAAAGTCTTGGTCTAAGCTTGTTAACTTGTTTAAGCTTATTAAACATTCAACAATTAAAAGAATAACTAAAATAATGTTATTTCATTATTAAAAATTATTAAAATAATAATTTTAATTACTTTATTTAAAATAAATAATATGATGTAGGTCGGCCTGAAGGCTTATAAGCTCGACATGTATAAAAAAAAATCTATGGCCTGTTTTCTAAATATATTTTTTTAAAAGTCTAGGCTTGTTCTATTTTACTACTTGTAATAGGCCAAGCCTAGCTTAATATAGATTAGGCAGTAGGCCCTTGTAGACCGGCCTAACCTATTTATACCCTATGTCACTATATTTCGATTTATAATTTCCCAAATTTAAATAGTATGTTTAGACAATAGTTTATGAGAAAAATATTTGTTGTTTTAAATAATATAATTTTGTGTTATTTTACATAAAATGACGTTATTTTGGTGTATAATTTGATATTTTTTATATTATTTCTCCTTCACTCTCTCTCTTCCTAATTTTATGGAAGACAAATAATATAAAAATTATCAATTATGCACCAAAATCAAGTCATTTTATTTAGAATAACATAAAATTATATCTTTTAATAGTATAAACATTTTTCCTACAGTTTATATATTCCACATTCTAGTTTTAGGATATTATTATTATAAAATATGTCTTTAAACTTGATATGTTGTTGGAAATAGTTTTTTTAATTTTATAAAAACATTAAATGTTGAATAAAATTGAAATATATGATATTAGGATTTATTTTGTTTATTTTTCTATAATTTCTAAAATATTTTAAACTCTTAAATATTTAAAGATATAACCATAAATATATGAGAAAAACTATTCTCATACTATAGGAGATAAATTTTTTCTACTATACACTCTTCGATAACTGGGCCACTTTATTTTAGATGATGGAGTTCACCAATTTATTTTTATGATAGAAGATAACTTATCTCCATTAACATAAGATTAATAAAACCTCGTCACAAAAAAAAATTAATAAAACCTAAATACATACCCACGATTACCCTTGTCATTCCTAAAAATGTGCGTGTTGTTACTGGAGCACATGGGCAGTGTCCTCAATTTTATGGGCCACTCGTGTGCCCAATTTAAGACCATAAAAAAGTCAAGAGCAACCTTCGAGTTATCCAACGTTATCGTCAAAGCAGTTCAATTCATGAGACTGAAAAATTTAACAGTAATAATCTAATTTAATATGTATTATCTTATACTTATATTTTGCTCTCTCTTTTTTATGTTAAAGGACGTGTGGTTACTGTAATTTTAAATAGATGCTGTAGAGTTACTCAAAGATAAGAGTAAGAACTGGTTTCCTTTGGCCAAATTTGTAGGTGTTTGAGTGTTTCGTTGTTTGGAATTTGAAGAATTTCATTGTGACTGAGCTGTGCAATAATGGAAGCACTATCTCTTCCTACAAACAGTCTTACAAATTCCAATGCCAAGTACATTTCTCTGAGTGCTGTTACTAATTATGCCTCGCTCTCTTCCTTACAACTCAATCCTTCTTACACAACCAGACCCCTCACTTTGGTATTCATTCTATCCCTCGTGTGTGTGAATATATATGTGGTTATTATTATTATGATTGATGGGTTTGTGGCTTTTTTCTTCTCTATGTCCTTTAACTGATACATGATAACTGCTTTTCCTTTGCTGAAGAGTGTTGTTCGAGTGCGAGCTGAGAGTGAGGATTATGAATTGAAGCAAATGAGGGACATGGCTGCTGCCAGAAAGAGATGGGAAGCTCTGGTATTTTCTGTTTCATTCAACTTCTTTTAGTAACATTCTTGATTTTGATGCTTGTGTATGTTATATGTTTAATGCCTAGTGAGGAGTTTCGAGTTGAATTTGAATTTGAATTTTCATAATCTTTTATCCTTCTTTCTAGTGAGTTGAGCTATTTGTTAGTGGAGTGGCATACAATGTTTGGGATTTATCAACAGCTTGAGCTTGAGCTTCTATAATGAACTGTATAATCAAGTCCTTGTTATTGGAGGATGCCCTCTTTTCTTTGATTAACCCCCTTCTAGACCATGATGTTGATCCACATATGGACCTAATGATTTTCATGTGGTTTGCTTGCTTATTTTGTAGGTCAGGGATGGAAAAGTTAAAGTTCTTACTCCAAGGGAAGCTGGGTATGCAGTTCAGCTTTCGAACAAGCCCCTTCTTGATGTTCGTCCCTCAAATGAACACAACAAGGTTTCTCTTTCGATGCAGCTGTCGCTTTGTTTACTTTAGCAAATATATTGTACAGATAGTTTAGTTATTTATCTGTAGTAGGAAGGGAAAAGGAAAGCAATTTGACATTTTAAACATGTTATTCTTGTGGTCAGACATTTTTGAAGCTAATTTTCTTGATGGTAATTGATCTTGGCTTGGTAGCTGTTGAAAGCATCGAATTTGCATTTCCCAAAACATTTAATTTACTTTAGCTTGTTGTAAACAATCTGCACAGTGCAATATTCATTGTTTTTTCTTGCTCTTTTTGCATGTTATGAAGGCATGGGTGAGAGCTTCAACCTGGATTCCAATATTTGATGTTGATTATAAGCTAGATGTTGGAACCATTCCCACAAAAATCACAAATTTCGTTATGGGTAATAAAAGATCCATGCTGGCTCTTTCATTATTAATTTTCACCTTCAGTCTTTTGGTAGACTTTCTGAATTTATGCAATAAATCTCTACATTTCATTAGAAATCTTCTACATTTAATTTGACCTTGTGCTGAACAGGAGGTTGGTGGAGTGGAATGCCTACACTGTCGTATGATAGGTATCCTAAACTATCATTTGTTCTTCTGATTCATTATCTGTGTACTTGAATTTTATATTTATTTCTATACTTTCTTCAACAGCCAGTTCTTAGCCAAAGTTGTGGAGAAGTTCCCCAAAGATACAGAATTAATTGTTGCATGCCAGAAGGGACTGAGGTGAGCTTTATACATTCAATTGATTGCTCACTGAATTGAGTTGTTTCTAATTCTAATTTTCCTTTTCCTTAAAATGTATTTGGTACTTCTCCTGCTGTTTTGAATCCTATTTCAGTTTTTCAATCGTTGAATCAGTCAAATTCTGGTGGATGAAAGAAATTCTTTGATCGTTTCACTAGTGTCAAATAAACAACGTTGTTCTTGTGTGGTTCTGAACCTCATTTTCTGGCCAGATCGCTTGCTGCTTGTGAACTACTATATAATGCTGGCTACAAAAATCTGTTCTGGGTTCAAGGAGGCTTAGAGGCTGCTGAAGAAGAGGCATGTTTCCAATTTCAGCTTTCTGGAATTTCTATTATGCTTTACTTTGATCAAATGTGGTAAAAGAAAATTAGCTTATCTTACGAGCTTGGCCCTTCTTACTACTGTGGAGCAGGATCTCATCGTAGAGGGTCCAGTGCCTCTTAAGTTTGCCGGAATCGGTGGTGTTTCAGAATTCCTTGGGTGACTATCTTTTCTCACTTTTTTCTCTACTTATAGTGCATGTAATATAATATGGTTGATGAAGTTTATTTGACATTAAGTCGAAGCAAGACTGAGTATCTGAAGTGTGAGTTTTCTCTGGTACAAGATGAGGACCAAGAACCTGTGCATCTAAATGGTCAAGAGGTACCCAAAAAAAATGCTTTTAAATACTTGGGCTCCATTTTACAAAACGGTGGAGAGATTGATGAGGATGTAAATCACAGAATCAGAGCAGGTGGATGAAATGGCGTAGTGCATCTGCATTTTTGTGTGACCGCAAAATTCCCCTGAAGTTAAAAGGAAAATTCTATAAAACGGCAGTACGACCGGCAATGCTATATGGAGCGGAATGCTGGCCAGCACATAGGCAACATGAGCATAAGATAGGAGTAGCAGAGATGAGGATGTTAAGGTGGATGTGTGGTTACACAAGGATGGATAAGATAAGAAATGAAGATATTCGACGAAAGGTCGGAGTAGTACCGGTAGCCGAGAAGATGAGAGAACATAGATTGAGGTGGTTTGGGCACGTGATGAGAAGACCCATGGATGCTCCTGTAAGAACAGAAGTTTGTTACCAAAAGTTAAACACAAAAAGAGGCAGAGGTAGGCCGAAGCTTACTTGGGGGAAAGTAGTAAAACAAGATTTAATGGAGTGGGATATAGATTGGCGGACAGTATGTCTTAGAAAGGAATGGAGAAAAGCTATAAGTATGGTGGAGGGTTAGACCCGCTGTTATTCCTATGTTCCAGATGGTCCCTTTTTAGTCCTTTTCCCCTTCATTTCCCCCACTTCTTCTTGTCCCTTTCTTTTTTACTTTTATTTATTTATATATACATATATTTTTATTTTTTTATTTTATTTTATTATTTTATTTGTGTATTTTTATTTATTTATTAATTTATTTATTTATTTATTTATTTTTATTTTTTTTATTTTTTTTTTATTTTTTTATTTTTATTTTTATTTTTATTTTTTTTTTACTTTTTTTTCAACCGTTTTGTATCTTTCATGTGGGTTCATCTACCACCGACCCCAATTAATTTGGGATAAAGGTGTTGTTGATGTTGATGTTGATGAAGTTTATTTGACCTTGTCAATTTGGCGTTTTCTCTATTGGACAACATATAATTTATTTTGTAATATTTACTAATTCATGCCACATTAGAACGTTATACTTCTTACACAATTATGATTGGTTGGAAATACTAGTATAAACATCAAAATCAATCATGGTTTGCTGTATGGCTTGTACAGAATTCCATTTTACGTGATGCATATTTAAGACCCGTGGTGATTTTTGTTTTTATTCTTTTAATTTCAATGACAAAAGAGAAATTTTATGTTATTTATATGTTGATAAAAACTGTCTGGTGATTCCCTTCAGTAATAAATCCAGTTAATAACTATCTTTTTTAAGAATTGATTTATTTTGTTCTAGATGATTGACAGTCTTTTGGCATTGGTTTATCTCTCATCCTGCCAAAATATAAAATTACCTACCATTTCCCAAATCAGTTTGCAAATTGGGTGTCATTATATGCATGCAACTAATTAAACTACAATTATTGTTGCAAAGACAAAAAGGTCTGGAAGATTTCATTTAGAAATGATATAGGAACGTTGTGTTATTGTATTTCCAGATTGCCAAGAATATATAAGAAATGATCCTGTCAATGATAACACAAAATTGTATAGCTTAATTCCCTGGTTGCATCCCTTAATTAAAAAACTTAATGTTAAGAGAATACCATACAGATTTGAGTTATATCCATCATCTAGTTGATGACAATTTTCCTATATGTAGCAAAATGTCCCTTGCTTGTTGGACATAATCAATACTTCTGTACCATATTGATTACTGTCTGCGGCCTTCAAAAGAGATTTTATATATTATAAAAATTTAGGACATTGTTAAAATATGGTTGCACATTTCTGACTTCATGATTATTTTCAGTTGGACTGATCAACAAAGAGCTGCTGCAGCCAAGGAAGGTTGGGGATATAGATTAGTGTTCTCTGCACGCCTGGTAATTCATCCGTTGCATGCTTTCAGTTGCAAATCTTATTTCCCAATCTTTACATTCACACGTTTCATTGTTTCTGGCATAGCTTGGAGTCATTCTTGTTGGCGATGCGCTATTTATCGGTGCTCAGCAAATCGGTCGCTATCTTCAGGATATCAGGACCCATTGAGGTTCTATGGCTGCCTTGAAGTCATTGATTAATATTCCTGGAGACGATGTTCCTTGTTGTGGATGAGTGCATGTAGAGACAACATACTAAGGAACTAAATTTTGGAAGCTGATCCTTGGCAAAGACTTACTACTACCCATCCTTTAGTTAAATATGATTTACCAGCAGGTGCTTTCTGAAATTTTATGTGGTAATTGCCTCATTCCATTTTTAGTCACTACTGGATTGTAAATGCAAGTTTAGTTGGGCAGTCATTTTAATTTAGGTTTCTTCCATGTGGCTGTGTACTAATACGTTTTTTGGGCCAAATGCTTGTATTTTTCTTTTAGAAATTTCCAAAAGAAAAAGAAAATAAATCATTTTTGTCATGTTACTGCTCCAATGATGTTACTGTTATGGTAAATGTGTCAGTATTGTAACTTGCAGTGGTTGATATACTAGGTGAATTCTGAACCCTGATTATATTGTTGCAGAAGCCCTCTCACGGCTGTGATTGTATAATGTATTAATGTGTTTGTTTGTACGTGTTTGTATCCATTTTTAATTCCGTCATTCCTTCCTTTTGAAATTGTGTTGTCTTAGGTTGATCATTAATTCTTAAAAGGAGAAGATATTGTGTAACAGAGGTCAACATTAAGTAATAGTGAAGATTAATCATCACAAGATGTAATCTTACATTTCAGTTTAGTGATTTTAATTGCCTTCCAAAATTTGTAAAATCAAGTTGAGAAAAGAAGATTTATCGAATTATATTTGCTCGAAGCAAGATCTTTGAAAATTCGCAGTGGTTTTGGTTTATCAGTACTACAAAAGTTATAATTCGATGGTGAATTGCAGATGCTTCTCAGCTCCTAGTAAAAAAATTTGGAAACACTTTAAGACAGCGTATATTGAAGGCGTAGCATTCTTATGAAAATGATTTCTGTTAAAATATGTTTTTAAGAGCCTCCTCCAAAAATTTGGATTTCAAGTAAGAATTTGATCATGAAGCAACTCAAGGATAGCAGAGTTGATAGAATCACAATTCTCCTCCTTTTGAGTTAAGAAGAGAAAACTTCCAAATGAACCAAGTTCATCCAAATCATACAATTCATTAATGACTCATTTGGTCTTCTTACTTGTATGTAGGCAATAGCTAACTAACTGCTTAACATTAACTAATAGCTATCTACTAACTGAGTACAATTCATATGCCCTTTATACTTGATGCATCATGAGTCTTCATTGAAAGTGCGGTTTAGCAACAACATGAAGATTTTCTCTCCTGTGCATTGAGATGCCAAAAACTTCAGTGAGGTCCAAGTCTTTGGCTGTAATACCAGGAGGAAGCTCCCAATCGAAACTGTGGAGGAGTTGAGCTAGAGCAAGCTCAAGAACTGCAATGGCAAATGTAATTGCTGGACAACCTCTTCTACCTGCCCCGAATGGTATTAGCTCAAAATCCTGTCCTCTGTAGTCAATATCACTTCCCAAAAATCTCTCTGGTTTAAATGCATTAGGATGTTCCCAACTTTCTGGGTTCCTACCAACTGCCCAAGCATTAACAAAAAATCTTGTCTTAGCTGGAATTTTATACCCGTCTAAGATAACATCTTCCATGGATTCCCTTGGGACTAATACTGGAACTGGAGGATGCAATCGAAATATCTCTTTAATAACAGCTCTCATATAATGCAGTTGATGCAGATCACTTTCTGTAACAACTCTTCTTTCTCCTAGGATGCTCCGCACTTCCTTTTGTGCCTTTTCCATAACCTGGGGATTCATTAGCAGCTCTGTCATTCCCCAATCAAGGGTAATGAAGGTTGTATCAGTTCCTGCAGCAAACATGTCCTGCAGAAACACAAAGGGTTGTCATTTATCAATTAAGCATAGTGAAAGCTGTATCCTTTTACAACATAATAAGAGATAAACCAATAAACCAACAATGGTTATTAAGGCTTCACTAACCAAGATGATTGCCTTGATATTATCAGTGGTGAGAGGCATCTCATCCGAGCCATTCTTCTGCACCTCGAGTAAAACATCTACGAGGTCCTTATGCTCCTCTATTTTATTGGAAGCCATATGTTCATTCAATATCTGATCAAAGAGTTGATCAAATCTTTGAGAAGTGTCCTGGAGTCTTGATTTCATGCCAGTCAAGCTGTGTATAAACTCCAAGGAAGGAAAGAAGTCACCAACGCTGAATCCTCCAAGGAGTTCCTGGTACTCATCAAGCATCATTTGGAACCCATGTCGTTGATAGTCTCCTCCTCCTGAGAAGTCCCTTCCAAATGCTACTCGACAAAGAACATCATTTGCATACAGTGCCAGCATCTTAGACAAATTGATAGTTCCTGGATAAGACCCTACAACCTGATGAACTAAACGAGCAACTTCTTCTTCTCTAACAGAACTATATGACTCTACCCTTTTGGCACTTAGAAGCTCAAGTATGCAAATTTTTCTGATATGCCTCCAGTAAGCACCATAAGGAGAGAAGACAATGTCTGTGCAGTTGTAGAAGAGGTATTTAGCTGAAAAGAGTTGTGGACGGCTTGAAAGTGCAAGATCATGGGTTTTCAACACTTCCTTTGCTAGTCTAGCTGATGAAACAACCACCGTTGGGATTTCACCAAGTTGTAGATAAATTATGGGTCCATACTTATCTGCAAGGCCTTGCAGAGACAGGTGAGGCATGGTGACAAGCTGGTGGAGGTTGCCAATGATGGGTAACATAGGAGGACTTGGAGGGAGATTGGATCTTCTCTTTCTTGACTTGTCTATAAAGAGAAATTTCATCAATAGAACTATGAAAATGAATATAAAGAACAAGAATGGTCTAAAGCCTTCTTCCAGCCATTGGAGCAGAGCCATTTCATAAACTGAGGGGAGTGCACTCTGCAGAGTGCTATTAGATGAAGCAATCTTCTTATCTACCAGTACTTAAATTACATAAAAATAATTTTCTTTTTACTTTTCCTTTGCATTAAATAAATATATAATTGGGTTCGCTTTTATACGTAGATAATTTATCTACATCAAACCCAAAATGTCATTTTAAGGCAGAAATCAAGGTATTTTTGTAATTATAATTTATTTAAAGGTTATAATAGTCTTTTTTATTATAATTTTTCAACCCAAATGATATCATCTTAGGAGCGAATTGCAGAAACATTAAAGCCTGTATAGACTGGGTTCACTTTTTTTACATAGATAACTTATTAACATTAAATCTAAAACGTCGTTTTAAGACGAAAATCAAGGTATTTTTGTAATTATAATTTATTTAAAGGTTATAATAGTCTTTTTTATTATAATTTTTTAATTTTTCAACTCAAATAACGTCATTTTGAGAGCGAATTGCATAAACATTAAAGTCTATATAATTTATTAAAACTTACGTAATTTAGTCACTCAAAACTTTTATGTGAATATAAATTGATAGTTGAAGTTGTAAATTCTTTTACTCCATGGCCTCGAGTCAGGCAGAATTAGAAAGTCACCCGTTTAAAATTATTAACTTCTTAATGAGTTCAAAAATTTTAAACTTTAAATAAAAACCACACAAATAATATTTTTTTAAAAACCAAATTATATATTCATTACCAAGTTATAATATTTTTTTAAAAAACCAAATTATATATTTATTACCAAGTTTTAAATTAGACTCAAATTCAAAATCATTGGTTAAATTGAAACAATCATGTACTAGTCGATCATGTGGTATATATGTACTATGGGTTCGCTTTTTCTGCAGTTACTGCAGATAACTTATCTGCAGTAAGTCAATACGACGTCGTTTTGAGACAGAAATCATGGTGTTTTTGTAATTTTAATTTATTTCAGGGTTATAATAGTCTTTATATTTATAATTTTTTAATATTTCAATACCAAAACGATATCATTTTAAGAATAAATGCAGATAACTTATTTGCATTAACTGCATAAACATTTTTTCCATTTACTATCTAAACATGGGTAACGATAAACCCTTAAACATGCAAAGAAACTTAAGGTGGTGTTTGGTTGGGAGCTTTTCAGTGGATATCTATGTTTCTCAAGTATGGCTTTTAGAAAAACCATGTTTGTTTCAACGTATTTTCACCAAAAATCCATCTATCCAATTTGTTTGGATTTATGAGAAACATAGATATTCGCACTGTTTAGAAACTCAATTTGAAGGTGAGATTTTTCGGAAAATCGGTTATCTGGCTTTTAATAGACTGTTGATTTCATAAAGTTACCTAATTTTTCCAGTAAAGTTTTTCCCCACCAAACATTTTTAACATTTTTCTACCTATCTCACTTTATCTATCTTTTCAATCATTTCTCTATCTATTACATTTTCTTACTATTCCAAAAAAAATTACTCAACCAAACGCCCCTACCGCGTTTTCTTCTTTCCTAATGTTATGCTTTCAGGCCGCATAATTCCGGATGAAAACAAAAATTATGTGGTTTTCTATCTTTTCGTCAAAGACTTCCAGTAAATGGCAGTGTGGCCCTGACACTTCACCACCGTCCAGTGTCATAATCCATAACGTGTCCATTTCTTTTGGATCAAGCTCGGGATTTGATACTCAAAAATAGTTGTCGTTGCTATCTTTTTTTGACTCTTATTGAGAAAATCGCGAGTGCCTCATCCTTAGCTACCTGGGTTCCACTTGAATGGGGACACTATATTATTTTGTCTTCGATCTTGCCATCCCGGGGATATTTTTTCCGGCAAGATAAGATGTTGGCGAACGGTGCAAGCTCGCCTTCAGGTCGATTTTTATATTTTGAGGGACCATTAGTCTTGCGCTTCCTCTTTCAATGTTAAACCCAAGCTCATTGAGAGATTGTCTAAAACCCTAAAATCTTAAATCCTAGATTTTTGAACCTTTCCAATTCCTCTATATATTCATTAGTTGTGAATAGAGACTAGGTTAGATGATTTGAAAGACTTTTGAGTGACACTTGAGAGATTTGAAAGTAAAGCTTTGAGCTTTGCATTTGAGAGACGAGTTTGAGTGAAACAGCTCTAGGAAAGTTTGACTACCACCATTGTAGGTGAGGTTTGAATGTACCACCATTGTTGGTGATGCTTAATCTTTTGTAACCCATTATTTTCGAGTAAACACCCTTTTTGGTCTCTGACAATATCTACGAAATACTTTTTAGTCCCTGGCAATAAAAAGGACCAAATTGGTCCCTAACAGTATGCAAAAAGGGTCACGTTAGTTACGGAGGAGTTGACATAAGGACTAATGTGGCCCTTTTTCATAATTTTAGGGACCAATTTGGTCTTTTTTTATTGTCAGGGACTAAAAAGAATTTCGTAGATATTGCCAAGGACCAAAAATGGTGTTTACTCCATTATTTTCATAGTGGAAGTTTGATTCTGGAATAGGTTCTCTGGATTTTTACTTTTTCATATTGAGGAAGGTTTTTCCACGTTAAAATCTGCTTGTGTTCTCTCTCTCTCTTCTTTGTGTTTTTTTTTTGTTTTTCCGTTGTGCTGGGCGACCTGTTGATACAGGGCGACTTCTAATTGAAGAGTCGAGCCCCTAGCTCGACGTTTAACTTCCGCAAAGGCTTCTTAGCTGAGTTGAGGGAACCGAGTTTCCAACGGTGGTATCAGAGCCCGGGTTCGACTGGTTCTAAGGGAGACGAGAGGGAGACCAGTGAAATCTCACATGATGGAGACATGTTCAAACTGACAGCGGCAACTTCACTTACTGGAGATTGATGATGGAAGATCATCTCTACTAAAAAGATTATATGAGCTCATTATCCTTAAAGAGAAGCCTGAAGGCAAAACTGATAAAGAGTGGGAAATCCTGAGTCGGAAGGCGGTAGCCACGATTAGGAAATATATTGACAAAAAGCCTCTTTGAGCACGTGTCTGAGTTCACGAACGCGTACCAGTTATGGACGAAGCTGGAGTCCATGATTCAGAAGAAGACTCCCAGGAACAAAGCACACCTGGTTCTCCGACTTGTGAAACTCGAATACAAGGACGACATGAGCATGATTGAACAACTCAACACCTACAAATGTATTGTTAATCAGTTGTCTAAAGCATGATTCAGAAGAAGATTCGCAGGAACAAAGCACATTTGGTTCTCCGACTTGTGAAACTCAAATACAAGGACAACATAAGCATGATTGAACACCTCAACACCTACAAAGGTATTGTTAACCAGCTGTCTAAAGCCGAGATGAAAATTGATAACGAGATGCAGGCTTTGCTGTTGTTGAGCTCGCTGCCAGAAAGCTGGGATACTCTGGTGGTGACTTTGAGTAATTCGGCTCAAGAAGAAAAATTAAAGATGGATGTCGTAATAGATAGTATCTTAAACGAATAAGCCAGGAGAAGATAACGAGGTGTTTCCAGCACGTCTGAGGCCAACGTAGCTGAGAATAGAGGGAAATCCGATTTTCGGGGTAGAAGTAAGAGTCAGGGTCGAGATTGTGACAAACGAGAAAAGTCCAAAGGCTGGTCAAAGTCGAAATATAAGTTGAAGTGCTTTTTCTGTGCGAAGCCATGGCATAAGTAGTCAGACTGCAGGACTCTGCAGAATGACGAGCAGAACAACTCTGTGAAGCAGGATCAGATTATTCCCTAGAAGAAAGAAGAAAAGAGAACCACATGTGGTTGCAAATGGTGATGCCGAGATATTCTTACTCGGTGAAGAAATTTGAACGTCACTTATGACGACTGCACCTGGATTGTTGATTATGGGGCCTCTTTCCATGTCACCCCACATAAGGTATTCTTTTCAGCTTACAGAAGTAGAGATTTCGGGGTCGTGAAGATGGGAAATCAGGTGACTAGCAAGATTGTTGGTGTTGGCAATGTGAACCTGATCTCAGATGTAGGGTGCCGACTTATTTTGAAGGATGTGAGGCATGTACCTGACATGTGTTTGAACCTAATCTTGGTTGGCAAGCTAGATGATGTCGGGTTAGTGAACTATTTTGGAGAAAGTAGATGGAAGCTGACCAAGGGAAACTTAGTCATGGCTCGAGGTAAGAAGGAAGGTCCCTTATATGTGATGCAAGGAAAGATAAATGGTGGAGAAGTCAATCTGTCCAAGATGGACATAGCCTAGAGCTGTGGCATAAATGCCTCGGCCACATGAGCGTGAAAGGGCTCTAAATTTTGAACAAGAAATGATTATTGATCGGGTTAAAAGGCCAAGCTTTGGAGAGTTGCACGCACTACCTAGCTGAAAAACAGCACCAGGTTTCTTTCGTGAAACCGGATTAACTCAGAAAATGCAGGTATATTCTTGACCTCGTCTATACTGGTGTCTGCTCCATGTCGGAGAGATCCTTGGAAGAGCGCAGTACTTTGTGTCATTCATTGATGATCATTCCCGCAAAATATGGGTATATTTGTTGAAGTCTAAAGACCAAGTACTCCAATCATTCAAAGAATTCTATGCAGTTGATGAAAGAGAGACTGACAAGAAATTGAAGGTGGTCCGATCTGACAATGGTGGTGAGTATTGCGGCCCATTTGATGCTTACTGCAGAGCAGTCGGATCCGACTTGAGAATATGTCTCCCAAGACTCCTCAGCTGAATGGACTTGCTGAAAAGATGAACATAACTATTAAAGAGAAGGTACAAAGCATGTTATCCAATGCCAGATTCTGGGGAGAAGCTGTCAGAACTGCGATTGACCTGATCAACCTCTCACCATCACGACCACTAGAAGGAGAAATTCTAGAGGAAGTCTGGACAGGTCGAAAAGCAACCTATGACCACCTGTAGGTGTTACGATGTCGAGCTTTTGTGTATATCCCTAAAGATGAAAGAGCGAAACTCGATGCGAAGACAAAATAGTGCATCTACCTCGGATTTCCGAGATATGAGTTCGGATTTAGACTTTGGGATCCAATTAGTAA